ACTGGGTGATTTTCAATCTACACTTCTGTACGTATTTTCCGGTAAAGGCGGCCGAGGCATCACTGCTGTCCTCTGGTTCACTTTACAACTTTTAAACAGGCTGTGAGGACCGGAAGGGGATAGAACTGGCTCAGGATCGTGTCCAATGGCGGGCTGCGGTTTTAGTGGTCTTTCGAGTTCTACTTCCACGCGGTTAGCAACACTGCACGATACCGAAGGTCAACATCTGATCCTCTTTGACACACCCTACAGCTCTCTGCGCTGTTCAACAGAAACCCACGTACGTGACACTTGTAGAACAATGTTCAGTGGATGTCAAACATGACAATGATCCAGCAGCGCCTCTGTGAGGTGGGAGTACAGTCCTGTTCGGATTGAAATTGTCTTCCACAGACGTGCGACAGACAAATGTTCTATCAAGAGATTTTCCTTGCGGGTAAATCTACCGAGAGATTTCCCATAAATATTATTAAATATTTACGTCTTTAATAGGTAGATTGCTCTATTCTGTAAGTTAAATCAGTGGTTGCTCGTTTACAATTTTTTGTGGACTTCGGGACTAATGTCGTGTTAGTGGAGGCCTCTCAAATCGGCATTTCTGTCCCCTCTACAACTTTATCTCATAATAGGTATTAGAACTGAATTTCGTGTCCCGCTCTATACGTGCTGCACCTATATATCTGGGGCAGACTTTATTTTTTTGTATTTATGTCCAAAGGCTTTCAAGCAAACTGCAGGTGGAAAACAAAAATTTCAAGGTAATAGTCTGCGACTATAGGCTGTCATAACCAACACTACGAAATAGTCTTCCCACCATATCAATAGGAATTTAGCACAAATGCAGACGTCTGGCACAGCTACGAAAAACGAGAATCACTTGTCTAGATTCCTTGGAGTTCTCGTTGTGTTCTTATGCTGGAGAAAGAACCGTGCAACCAACCAGCTATGAGGTTTTTGTGAGGAGTGTGAACGCTTAATATCCGCATCCCTTGAAGTACAGACAAACGTCTCACAGATAAAAGACCTGTATTTTGTGGGGATTAGCGGTTACACGGAAACATCACTAAGTTCTATTTGAGCTCCGTGTAAAGAATTGGTGACGCTGAACCGATATTAAATAAATTATATTAGTTCGACAGCTTAAAGTGTAGACCTCCAATACCAAATTTTATAGAAATTCGTTCAGTCGTTTCTACGACGGCAATTTTCGCTCAGGCGGAAAGAATGCGTCCAGTGATACGCCACAGCTGGGCCAATAGAATTTCCCCGAATTCCCAGCTGTGGTGAAAGGTACTTCCCGAAATAGAAAGCTTTCAAATTGAAGTTTTCGGAATCAACTCTCGACGTTTGTTTTCTCACAGAATTCTCCAGCAGTTTGCCCCTGCAATCGTCCTTCAAACAAATTCCTTGAATTGTGCCTCGAAAAGGATCCTGGATTCGATATGTTCTGAATTTCTTTCCCTCTGGGAGGATAAAGCAGGGGTGTCACAAACTTGCACACTACAGTCGGACGTTATTGACATGAACGTAATGCAGAAAAAAAAAATCGTACCTATGAATTTTATGAAAATATTATCACAGGGAGCATCAGAATTTCCACCGCTTGCATGAAAATTGTCGTCGCGAACCTCGAAAGAAGAGACCCTTCGAGACATTTGCAACTTATTTGTTTATAGTTTATTTAACGAAGCCTTTCAGTAGGTCAAACTATACAGCGTCGGATAATATGATTTTATTTTTATTCTTTATTTAGTGTTCTGTCTGACGACAGGTCCATATGAACAGGATCCTTCCATCCTTTTCTCGGACTGGGACCTGTTCATATACGTTCTTGGCAGATGATCCAGAAGTGGTTTGCCATTGCCTTCTTCTGTGTGTGAATGGAGTAATTGTTGGGATGCCACGGAGGAAAACTCCGTGTTGCCTAGACCACGGCCTTGCCCAACACAAGTTATAAATTCGGGCACCGCCGGGAATCAAACCCGAGACCCCAGGATTACAAGGCCAGCGTTCTAACCGCTAGAGATAACAGTAAATAATGAATTGGAAAGGGTGTGGAAGGAAGCGGTCCTGACCTAATTTAAGGTACCATCCTGGCATTTGCCTGGGGAGACTGATGATGACTGCCCTCGGTCAGAATAGTCGGGTTCAATAGAAAATGCGAAAGTTGGGAAGTTTGAGTCTGCCAAAAACTTGTTCCGTGGAATGGCGTGAGACAGACAAAGTGAGAGACCTCGTATAGTTTGCGCAGAATTAATAGAAAGTCAGAACGAACATGGACAATGAACCAAAGCAAAAGTTCGAACATTTAAACCGCAAGGGCCGCATTCCGACTGTCTTTTGTTACACTGTTGTCCAGATGTGACGTATCTATCCGTGACCGATCCGTTGTTTTGTGCGAATATCAGCAAAGGGGAAAACATTATTCACGGTTTATCACTTTATCATGAAACGTTGACCTTACATGGGACCTGATTCTGCTTGCTGTGTTCATAACTACGTGGTT